TTCATTCGGTTCCGGGTGACCTTATATTTTTTCAATCGTATATTTGTATGACTCATTATCCAAAATGACTTTTACAAATTGTTTTTAGCATATTCTGTTTGTTCCTAAAACATTTTTAATTTAATGTTTGACATTTTTTTTTTAAAAATTAAATTAATTTTTTTTTTTAATTTCTTAAAACCTAATTTAACATATTCAACAATGATGGCTGCGACAGTCTGTTAATAATTAATATCTAGGGCAATGTCTACCCATGTGATGGTCCGCGGACCGGCACCGGTGGGCAGCGTTACCTTGCCGGTCCGCACAGCATGCGACAGTAAAACTTGAAAAAAGGTTAAAATGAATTTGAACACTCATATTACCAGTTTTTTTTAACGCCTAGCGTTAAATGCTAATAATTAATTGAGACGTTTACCATTGGCTGTTCGTGAATTTTTTAAAAAAAAATGAAATAAATATTTACGGCCAACTGAATAGATTTTTTTTTAAAAGTAATTTACAAATCTGGCTCCACCGGTCACTGTTGCGATGGGAAATGCATCCACGTTGTTCGCAAAACGTAAAAATTTTGGGAAACACTGATCTAGGGGGACCCTGGATGAGATTGTCAGCCATGACAAGTTAAGGCTCGTTAAATAACTTCCTACACCAAGGGTTCCCAGTTGTCACAACATGAAGCCACTGCACAAGACACCATTTTTGAAAGTGAAATTTTAATCGTGGAAACCATAGAAATGGAGGGCGGGGGGTGGGGGGTGGGGGTGGGGGTGTTGTCAGTTGGGATTTCTGTGTAACATAAATTTTAAACAATTTGATCATTAAATCAGTTAGTCGCCGTAACAATGTTCACATGAATCCAGCTAGCACGAGGTTACGGTGGCGTGCGGCTTCAGTTCCGTGCAATTGCAGTGCCGCGTGGTCACAGTGCTGCGTGGTTACAGTAAACAGTGCTGTGGGGTTAAAGGGGTAAGCGGGTATAGTGGCCCGGGATGAGAGTGTCGTCCGGATACTATAGCAACAGAAAGCCAAAGCCAGACATGGATAAAGGTGCATCACGTCTTAGTTAAATAAACCAATAACGTACAATGAAATCATCTTGACAATGTTAAGTGTCCATCAATGCCTTAATGGTGTGCAATACCTTGATGGTCAGCTATGTATTGATGGTGTGCAGTGTCTTGATGTTGTGAAATGTCTTAATTGGTTTCCTATAGCTTGATGGTGTGCAGTGTCTTGATGGTGTGCCATGTCTTGATGGTGTGCCATGTCTTGATGGTGTGTCATGTCTTTATGGTGTGCAATGTCTTTATGGTGTGCCATGTCTTTATGGTGTGCAATGTCTTGATGGTGTGCCACGTCTTTATGGTGTGTCATGTCTTTTTGGTGTGCAGTGTCTTTATGGTGTGCCATGTCTTCAGGGTGTTTAGTGTCCTTATGGTGTGCCATGTCTTTATGATGTGCAATGTCTTGATGGTGTGCCATATCTTTATGGTGTGCAATGTCTTGATGGTGTGCCATGTCTTTATGGTGTGCCATGTCTTTATGGTGTGCCATGTCTTTATGGTGTGCCATGTCTTCAGGGTGTTTAGTGTCCTTATGGTGTGCCATGTCTTTATGATGTGCAATGTCTTGATGGTGTGCCATGTCTTTATGGGTTGCAATGTCTTGATGGTGTGCCATGTCTTTATGGTGTGCCATGTCTTGATGGTGTGCCATGTCTTGATGGTGTGCCATGTCTTTATGGTATGCAATGTCTTGATGGTGTGCCATGTCTTGATGGTGTGCCATGTCTTTATGGTGTGCAATGTTTTGATGGTGAGCACTGTCTTGATGGTGGGCAATGCCTTTTATGGTATGCAAAGCACTGATGGTTCGCAACGATATATGAGTTGGTTTTTTTTAAAATAAATCTATTGCAAACCCTCCGGCCCTGAAAGATATTTCATTTAAATTTTGATTTTTTTTTCTCAGGACATTCAAAGTATTCACAAAACCCGTGGTTATTTTCTTCTTGACCAAACACTGTAATACAAATGACCTGGTTTGGCATAAGTCGTTGATGACCTAGTTAGGCATACGTCATTGATGACCTAGTTAGGAATGTCGTTGATGACCTAGTTAGGCATGACGTTGGTTGTCTGTCTCGCTTTGTTTGTTTTGCTTATGTGTTTGTTTGTGTGTTTTTGCTGTGCCTCTTTAATCTTCACAGGCGTTTACCTTTGGAAGAGGAGAGGGGGGGGGCGCCAAGACATTGTTATTGAGCCGGCTGTAATCACATTCGCTTAAGCTCGGCTACGCTAGTGGTCATTCTACTTCTTTAAAAATCGAAATGGCATACGCATGTGGTGCACAGCGACATTTTAAAACGGCGACTAGATCATCAAAAGCACGAGTTAAGCCACCTGACCGCGCAGCCGACCCAAACATCTTGTCTCAGGCTCAAAATGTACCTTACGGAAACGGTTCTCAATCTTTTTTTTTTAACTCGCGAAGTTGTTTTTAGAATCAGTTTCTGAAGGGGCGGTTGGGGGAGGGGGTAGGGACCCTATTTTTTTTTTTTACAGGTTTATGCTGTTTTAGAGTTGTATTACGGGTGGGTGGGGTGGGGGCGGCCGTGGAGCCCCTGATAAGTGAACACGCCTGAAGGAAATTGAACATTAAATTGACGCATAAAATTTATCCAGAAAATTGTGATTATGTTTTGCTAATTTATTACAACAAACAACGAAATAATACCGAACCCATTCATAGGGATCACTGAGCCATGAAACGCTAATCATGTAAGACTTCATGTTGTTGTCGTAGCTATTTTTTGTTTTGTTTATAAATTAAATTATATTACCGTAGCTTGTATCACTCGATACATCTACTTGTATTGCCTGGAATGGTGCGTTAGTTGTCATTGATGTATCGTTCTACTTGTGCTGCTTGAAATGATGTGTTAGACGTCATGTGCGTATCATTCTACTTGTATTACCTGAAATGATGTGTTAGTTGTCCTGTGCATATCATGTTACTTGTATGACATAAAATGATGTGTAATTTGTCATGTGCGTATCATGTTACTTGAATTAACTGAAATGATGTGTTAGTTTCCATTGGTGCAGCTTCGTAGCCAAGTAAACACAAAACGCGGACGCCAATGGAAGGGTATCAGCACTTCGATCATGGGACGACAATGACGAAGTTACCACCACCACCCCCCCCCCCAACGCTGTTTCCAGGGGTGATATCCCTTTGGGCCGCCATGACATTGCGCTTACTCACCTACCAGGACTTCAGCGACAGCAATCATGCCAGGATGGATCAGGCCCACACGACATGCGGTCCGCCAGCACCAACTTTTCAAGGTCCTCGCAGCCTTCTGATCAGACTTTACTTCGCTTCTTCTGATCCAGAGGCGTAGCGTGATGGGGGCAGAGGGGGGGGCAGATTCCCCGGGCGCCAGCTAGTTAGGGGCGCCAAAATGTGCTTTGATATTATTTTATTGATGAAAATAATGGGTTTGAGGGTTGAAAAAAAGAAAAAGGGGCGCTTTAAAATCGATCTTGTCCCCGGGCTCGAATCCTTTCCCCGGGCGCCAAACACCCTCGCTACGCCACTGCTCTGATCTATTTTTGTTCATCAGGGACGTGTCCCCGTAGTCTTTTTCTTTTCTTTATTTTGTATTAGTAATAGGTAGAATATAAATATGTTATGTACAATCTCAATTTGAATTAACGTTATTTGTTATTCTGATGTGCTTATGATATGCTTATGATGTACATATAATGTACTTATGATGTGACTATGATGTGATTATGTTGTGATTATGATGTGATTATGGTGTACTTATGATGTTCTTATCAGATTCTTATGATGTACTTATGCTCTACTTATGATGTGCTTATCATGAACGTATGATGTACTTAGGATGTGCCTATGATGTGCTTATGATGTGCTTATGATGCTCTTATGGGTTCTTAATGATGCACTTTTGATGTTCTTCATGATGCACTTTTGATGTTCTTAATGATGCACTTATGGGGTTCTTAATGATGCACTTATGATGTTCTTAATGATGCACTTATGATGTTCTTAATGATGCACTTATGATGTTCTTAATGATGCACTTATGGGGTTCTTAATGATGCACTTATGATGTTCTTAATGATGCACTTTTGATGTTCTTAATGATGTACTTTTGATGTTCTTAATGATGCACTTATGATGTTCTTAATGATGCACTTATGGGGTTCTTAATGATGCACTTATGATGTTCTTAATGATGCACTTATGATGTTCTTAATGATGCACTTATGATGTGCATACGATGAGCTTATGGTTTATGTATGATGTACTTTTGATGTACTTTTCAGGGCATTTGGCCGAGGCGTTTAAGTCTGTGTGTGGTCCCATTGTAATGAAAACTTACATTGGCTGTTAAACTTCCACAAGCTGTTTACGTCTCATTAATCGATTGAAAAACTTTATTGCACTCCGACAATCATATATTTAGCTCTGTGATGTCGCACATTGTTGCATGTTTACAAACATCATCCCATAGTTTTGAAGATGTATAACCTTATGAAATGGATTAGCAAGAGTTGGAACATTATATTATGTTTTTATTTCTTTTAAAAATAATTAGTAATTTATCGGTAGTTATATTTATAACACCGACCACGTCCCCCCCCCAACCTATCTCATTGTCTAGCGCCCCATGGGGCTGTGATCTCATATATGTAAACTGTCACATGCTCGTCGTCAGATTATGAGCTCGCAGCCTGGCATAGATCATACCCACATCGTCTGGAATAAGAAACACTCATTCTTCTAAAGCAACGGTTCCCAATCTGTGCTCGGGGCCATTTCTCAGGGGGGGATCCACGGCCGCTACAGGAAACTCCCAAACACTAACAACTCATACTAGGGCATGCCTAAAATTTTTATTTTTTTGTATGACTTCGCGATTCTTATATGTTGGGAACCACTGTTCAACAGCAACAACGATAAGATGTAAAGCAATGGGAGTTGTATTTATTTATTGGATATAGACACCCAAAATCAGCAGGAGAAGATAATGCAGGAGCAGCCTCGTCCGTGTCACTTGAGAACATGAGGAGTTGCCCGCTTCCAGTTCTGAAAGATCAATTAAAACAATTTAAGACATAACGATTATGTGTGCTCCTCAATAAAGTTGGTGTTGTTTTTTTTTCCATCTCATGCTTTTAAAAAAAAAAAATCATGTTTCGACTAGATATAACCCACCAAACAATGGCTTTCGGCAATGCGAGAAATTGACATCTGTGTTTACTTTATCAGAATCCCAATTATATGTTCTAACTCCTGGATAATTTTATTTTGCGCACCATTTGAACACAGCGTCACATCCCTACCTAGACACCTAGAGGATTATTATTTTTGTGATATTATTATTGAAATTGCAGACCTGTTTAATACCACGCTTTCGCAGTAGTAACTACGATTTTAAGCCTAAGACTACGGCACCACGACGAGCCTAAAAACTTCGTTTTTTAAACCTTAGACTGTGGCACCTACCCCTGCCAAATGTGGCACCTACCCCTGCTAAATAGGACACCTAACCCTGCCTAATGTGGCACCTACCCCTGCTAAATAGGACACCTACCCCTGCCAAATGGGGCACCTACCCCTGCTAAATGTGGCACCTACCCTTGCTAAATGTGGCACCTACCCCAGGTAAATGTGGCACCTACCACTGCTAAATGTGGCACCTACCCCTGCTAAATGTTGCACCTACCACTGCTAAATGTGGCACCTACCCCTGCTAAATGTGGCACCTACCCCTGCTAAATGTGGCACCTACCACTGCTAAATGTGGCACCTACCCCGGCTAAATGTGGCACCAACCCCTGCTAAATGTGGCACCTACCCCTACTAAATGTGGCACCTACCCCTGCTAAATGTGGCACCTACCCCTGCTAAATGTGACACCTACCCCTGCCAAATGTGGCACCTACCCCTGCCAAATGTGGCACCTACCCCTGCCAAATGTGGCACATTCCCCTGCCAAATGGGGCCCCTACCCCTGCCAAATGTGGCACCTACCCCTGCCAAATGTGGCACCTACCCCTGCTAAATGTGACGCCTACCCCTGCCAAATGTGGCACCTACCCCTGCTAAATGTGACGCCTACCCTACCAAATGTGGCACCTATCACTGCTAAATGTGACGCCTACCCCTGCTAAATGTGGCGCCTACCCCTGCTAAATGTGACGCCTACCCCTGCCAAATGTGGCACCTACCCCTGCTAAATGTGACGCCTACCCCTGCCAAATGTGGCACCTATCCCTGCCAAATGTGGCACCTTCCACTGCCAAATGTGGCACCTACCCCTGCTAAATGTGACGCCTACCCCTGCCAAATGTGGCACCTACCCCTGCTAAATGTGGCACCTACCCCTGCTAAATGTGACGCCTACCCTTGCGACTGACGGTGCAGTGTTAAAAAGATAGCGTTGGTGTTAGTCTGCATCCATGTGGCAGATACTTTCTTAACAGGATGGCTGATCCGGACAGATTGGTGAATGCGTCTGAGGTTCCTCAATCAAAACCAATTACCTTCTTCACAATGCTCCCACAGCCTCTCCACGTACTTCCTGTCCTCAAGAAGCTCCATCCACTCCGAGACAAGAATGTCGATGCTTGTATTGGCTCCTAGCGAGGGGTTCGGTGAGGCCCTGTTTGAACCGACGCCATTGCGGAACGCCTCCCCGACACCAGGGGGTGTGACCTTCACGCGGACGCTTGACGTCGTCTCGCCGGGGGGCGTGGTCTTCACAAGGGCCTTGGACGTCTGGGCGGGAGGTGTCGTCTTCAGACTGACCTTTGACATCTGACCTCTTTGATGAATGACGTCTTGCGTGGCGTTCCGGGTCATCTTGCAGGACCGTTGAATGCTCGTGTAGCATGCATCCAGCTCTTTCAGCACACTGATAAGAAACAGAATAATGAGTAGGATATGTTTCCTCTTCACGTAACACATATACCTGCATTCATATCTCCCTATAAGTGACACATATACCTGCATTCATATCTCCCTATAAGTGACACCTATACCTGCATTCATATCTCCCTATAAGTGACACCTATACCTGCATTCATATCTCCCTATAAGTGACACCTATACCTGCATTCATATCTCCCTATAAGTGACACCTATACCTGCATTCATATCTCCCTATAAGTGACACCTATACCTGCATTCATATCTCCCTATAAGTGACACCTATACCTGCATTCATATCTCCCTATAAGTGACACATATACCTGCATTCATATCTCCCTTTAAAGGACATGCATATCTGGATTCATATCTCCCTGTTATGGACACACATACCTGCAGTAATATCTCCCTATAACTGACATATATACCTGTCTTTATGTCATCATTAATTGGACACACATACCTGTAATAATAATATCTTCCTACATTGGCACACATACCTGCTGTTATATCTTCCTATAACTTACATAAATGCCTACTTTTTCATATCGCTCTATAACTCACACACATAGCTGCAGTCATCTATCCCCATAAGTGACACACATAAGTGTAGTCATCTATCCTCATAGGTGTCACACATACCTGCAGTCATCTATCCCCATAGGTGTCACACATACCTGCAGTCATCTATCCCCATAGGTGTCACACATACCTGCAGTTATCTATCCCCATAGGTGACACACATACCTGCAGTCATCTGTCCCCATAAGTGACACACATACCTGCAGTCATCTATCCCCATAAGTGACACACATACCTGCAATCATCTATCCCCATAGGTGTCACACATACCTGCAGTCACCTATCCCCATACGTGACACACATACCTGCAGTCATCTTTCCCCATAAGTGACACACATACCTGCAGTCATCTGTCCCCATAGGTGTCACACATACCTGCAGTCACCTATCCCCATAAGTGACACACATACCTGCAGTCATCTGTCCCCATAAGTGACACACACCGTATGACGGTGGCGTTACAGTCTGTAGAGGACTGCCCTGGCTTTCTCTTCTGGTACCTATCTCCGTGCCGTCCAGCGGTTTGTCTGTCGTGTGTTGAACATTCTGGCGTTGCTATCAACGAACCTTTGGCAGAAAAGTAATTTTTTTTTTTTGTAAAATGTATACTTAGAACAAATGAACGTCACGTGTCTTGAGAGAGTGTCTGACCTTTCAACCGGTAGTGTTTACTCGTGTCTTTCTAAGTCCTTCATTATGATTTTAAAGGCAATCTACATTACTGTTTTGCTTTATAACATTCTCATTTAATGTTTAAGATTTTAAAATTAATGTCACTATATAATATATTAAAAAAATTAATGTCGAAAACATAAAAAAATGAATTAATTTCCATAAATATAATTCAGGATGCATGTCTTTACTTATAAAATGTCCTATAATGTTTACTTAAACCATTTCCTACATCGATAGCCTGTAAAAATTACCCTCGATCCACCCTGACCCCAATAGATAAAATCTCAAAAAGTTTTGTAGAAACAAATTAAAAAAAAAAAGCGTTAATTTAGAAGCTTAATTTAACACAAAGAATAGTTTTACATTGCAATCCAAATTTCGGCTAAAGAGCATTTTTTTTTACTCACATATATACAATCCTAGTAGGATGCTGTGGCAAGGGGGGTAAATATGCATCCTTGGTTCTTGTGTAGAGTTACCTTAAATTTAAATAAAAAACGTTTCATTCAATGCCGTGGCGTAGCTAAGGGGGGTACGAGGGGTGCGGACCGCACGGGATGTCACCATCTCAGGGGCTGGCACCAAATTGAAAAATTGCATATTTACAGAGCACACATTGTTCTTTCTAACCGAATTTTATACAAGGATAACCGATCACACATACATCAAAAGAAATAATAAGAAAGCGATTTTAATTGATATGTGGGCCATTCGCTTATCTTATGTGGTCAACGAAAATGCTGCACGTATTACATTTTTCGGTACTTTTGAGGGAATATTTTCCATCTTTCCTGCGCCCACTAATCGATCGGGTTTTTTAATTGAACATTGGAATGTCGAAGAAAAAGACTGTGGACAACACGTTTGATTTCTCATCATGCTGCAGTTAAAACAGTGAAAGAGGAGTTTGATGAATGTGTGGCAGCGATTGAAGTTAAGCTCGTTGTGATCCTCTTGAAAATTTGGATACAAGAGGTACAGCACAAAGTCTTTTACATGCATGCTATCTATGATTTCACGGTTATCTGCTACCTTCACCGTTGGGCTGATCTACTTGAGGAAGTTAATCTTACACAGCAGTATCTACAGACTAAAGGTTTTATTCTTGATTTGTGGTGACAAACCTTTGTTTGATTGTTTCTGCACGAGAAGCGCTGCCACTTGGTGGAATATGCTATTGAAAAGGCACTTTTAAAATCAGACCAATATGGAATTTCGGTAGTGAGAAGATTGAGGTTCAAGAAGAGAATGGAAGGAGAACAACTAATAGATGCTGGACTCTTTGAGAAGAAAACAGTAGGGAGATGTTGGCGTGTTTTGATCGCATTCATTGTGAACTCCAGATCAGATCATCAGCGATCAAGGAAGTAGCAGATATTATGTTTGGGGCTTTTCAACCTCTGAGTCTACTAACAGCAGGTGAAGAAGAGTGGTATCTTTGTAAGATGTGTTATCAAAAGATGAACTTTTAAAAGAAATATCAAGACCTAAAACACACCTAAGGCCAACTACAAAGTCATGGACTGGTCAGTATTTGATTTTTTGAAATTCATATATAGCTGAATGAGACTTCCTAGAATATCCTCCAAAACTCTCGCTAAGCCTTCAATTGTTTCATACGATCTGTATTTCTGTGACTTAACGTGAGCGGAGCTTTTCAAAACTAAGTCTTATCAAGAACTATTTTACGATTCACCGTGGGGAAAGTCAAGGCTTTCTTATCTGACTCTACTATCAATTGAAAGTGATTCGTTAAAAGATATTGATTTTGATCAAGTGATTGACAGGTTTTCAGGAAATAACTCTTTTAAATTAAAGTAAATTTAAAGTCAAAATAACCTATAGCTCAACGTTGTTTCAGTTCTTAAATACATTGACCTTCTGACCTCCTGACCTTCAATTAATATTGTTTTTTTTTTCTTTACTTTGTTATACTGTGGACTTATTTTAACAAGAAGAAATCCATTGTGGAAGTCGGGGAAGGGGGTGGGTGTGACACCATGAGTTTACTGCACCGGATGACACGAACCCTAACCACTGATTCGATTCAATGCTTTGTAAGATTTTTGTTACATCTTTTATAAGTATTAATTCCCAAAAGCGTACCTTGCTGATAAAATTCCTTCTGTGTGTTCGGATCAGAGGCGAATACAGAGAGTGGGTGGTTAAAGGGGGGGGGGGAATCCCTTCTGATTCGTTTTCGCAAAAAAAAAAATTTAATTGTACAAACTTAACTGGACAATTGACCTGCTCTCAACCAAACAAACACGCTCCCCCCACCCCGCCCCACCCACAACCCCTAAACCGATATTCCGCCCCACATGCGGTCATCTTTCTATGTTTGTAGCAACAAGTCACAAAATCGATATCACTAAATGGAATCAATCAAAATACTCTCTTACTAGTGGTATGCAATTGCCCTCCATTTCTATTCACATATTGTGCAGTTTAAACTATCCATTTTGCGTGAATAACACTTACATGCTTTACATTGACAACACACACCACAGAATTTTGTGAGGGGCGCGATTTGCTTTTGAACAGCGTCCGTTTTTATTATCAGACTTTGTTTTTACACAGAGGCTGAGAGAGCAGCATTGTGATCTGAGAGAGCAGCATTGTGATCCGAGAGAGCAACATTTTGATCCGAGAGAGCAGCATTGTGATCTGAGAGAGCAACATTTTGATCCGAGAGAGCAACAATGTGATCTGAGAGAGCAGCATTGTGATCTTTGAGAGCAGAATTGTGATCTTTGAGAGCAGCATTGTGATCTGAGAGAGCAGCATTGTGATCTTTGAGAGCAGCATTGTGATCTGAGAGAGCAACATTTTGATCCGAGAGAGCAGCATTGTGATCTGAGAGAGCAACATTTTGATCCGAGAGAACAACAATGTGATCTGAGAGAGCAGCATTGTGATCTTTGAGAGCAGAATTGTGATCTTTGAGAGCAGCATTGTGATCTGAGAGAGCAACATTGTGATCTGAGAGAGCAACATCGTGATCTGAGAGAGCAGCATTGTGATCTAAGAGGACTACATTGTGATCTGACAGAGCAACATTGTGATCTGAGATAGCAACATTGTGATCTAAGAGAGCAACATTTTGATCTGAGAGAGCAGCATTGTGATCCGAGAGAGCAACATTGTGATCTGAGAGAACAACATTGTGATCTGAGAGAGCAACATTGTGATCTGAGAGAGCAACATTGTGATCCTAGAGAGCAACATTGTGAGCTGAGAGAGCAACATTGTGATCCGAGAGAGCAACATTGTGATCTGAGAGAGCAACATTGTGATCCAAGAGAGCAACATTGTGATCTGAGAGAGCAACATTGTGATCTAAGAGAGCAACTTTTTGATCTAAGAGAGCAATTTTGTGATCTAAGAGAGCAACATTTTGATCTGAAGGAGCAACATTGTGATCTAAGAGAGCAACATTATGATCCGAGAGAGCATGCAACATTGTGATCCGAGAGAGCAAAATTTGATCTGAGAGAGCAGCATTGTGATCTGAGAAAACTTTCGTCTTTCCATTTCATTTTTTTTTTCGTATTGTCTGCTGAATAAGGCATTTTATCCGAAATGTCCTTTTAATTTTTTTTGGGATCTAAACATATCTTGTTTCCCATCTATTAGCTTAGATAAAACAAGATGGGTTTTGACAAATTCTCTTTTTTAAATAACAGGTCAGTCACATTTAAAAAAAAAAAAGAAAAACATTCATTAAAAGTTGAGGAATTGTTGATCTTGTTCATGTAAAATGTTCATTCCAAGTCTTTATTTTTTTAAAAGAAATTTTATTGACTAATAAATAATAAATAAAATGACATGGGGGGGGGGGGCACATGTCTTTGTAGATAAGTAAAAAAAGCAACTTACAAACAAGGAACCGAACCTATTCCATGGGGAAAAAAGCCATTTAATTTTTTAAAAGAAAGTTTATTCACTAATAAATAAAAAAAAAAAGGACATGGGGGGGGGGGGCATATGTCTTTGTAGATAAGTAAAAACAGCAACTTACAAACAAGGAACCGAACCTATTCCATGGGGAAAAAAGCCGCATGTAGCCCCGGAGCGCAGATTGCTGATCACTGGGTTGGGATGAACATTATGGCATATTACCGAGACCTTCTGTAAGACACACTTAAATGTATTTTACTACCTTATAGCCCCCCCCCCCACACACACACTTTTTTTCCCCTCAAAACCTATTTCGCCTCGATAGCCTAAGCTCTATAGTTTGAATGATAACAACTTACACAGCCATGCAGAAATTCAAATTAACAGAAACTGCCTTATATCCCAGACCACTGGCCTCATCCAAATAACAAAAATTAACACAACTGGACGTAATGACAAGAGAAGAATGGTTTGGGGGTGCGCGCATCAGTGGAGGGTGAGAGTTGAGGAGGGATGGAGTATGGGGGAGAACATGTTATGTCTGATACGCTGCACTCGTTTGTAACATTAGGAAGTGGCGCATGAGTCGTTCAATCATTCGGCCAGTTATCCTCCCCCCCCCCCTGGAATGGGCTGTGACGCAATAATTATTTTACAACTCCGCTTCCGGTTTACGTCGTCACATTTTTCTTTCCTGGCATACACGATAACATATTTTTATTCTAACATGCCATATCTGTATACTAGCAAAACATATTTGTGTAAAAACATATGATGATTGAGTACTTTTATAGCGCTTGTTGTTGAAAATATTATGTTGCTAATCCACTTCAAAATATATCAGTTGCTAATCCAACTTCACAAGGAAGATAATGAAACAAGCAATGGCAACCATCAAGGTTAGTTCAACGTTTTAATTTTAAGAGAACAACATGGAGTCCTCGACAAGAACTGCACAACAACATGACGTCAATACACAATACAAAATGTGGTGTGCAAGACAATGCGCAACATTCAGTATTTTGTCAATGTCCAACACTTGTGTCCATGCTATTTTAGCATGCTCAGAGCGCACTGCTGTCCTAAATATATATTTAAAGAAAAAAAGTCTTAAATGGCGCTTACATGACTTTTTCTCACTCTTAATTGACTTTTTCTCATTTTCAATGTCCCTCAAAGATTGAGGCAAACTGTACCATAATTTAGGCGCCATAATTGAGAAGAGCATGGCATATTTTTTTTTTACTACATAACATGCTTTTAACATTTTTATGAACTAAAATAACGTATTTTCATACCAACATAGCAATGGTGTTTTATACAGCTTCATACCAACATAGCAATGGTGTTTTATACAGCTTCATACCAACATAGCAATGGTGTTTTATACAGCTTCATACCAACATAGCAATGGTGTTTTATACAGCTTCATA